GCTCGCAGGGATTTAACCAACATATCGTCAATGTAAACTTCCATCGATTTTCCTATTTATTCTTCAAACATCCGATTTACTAGGCGTTGGTATGTGGTTCCGGCAATTTTTAATCCAAACGGCATTACATTATAACACTATGTGCCATTTTTAGTGATGAAGGAGGTTTTTTCCTAATCACTCGGGTCCATCCGTATTTGGTTGTACCCGGAATAGGCATCGAAAAAACTGAGGATCTCGTGGCCGGCTGTGGCATCGATCATACGATCGATTTTGGGCAAAGAAAAAGAGTCTTTGGGGCATACTTTATTCAAATCTTTGTAATCTACACACATTCTTAGTTTATTCCCTTTTTTAGGGACTACCACTACGTTTGCTAACCAATCTGGGTATTTAACCTCTCGAATGGATCCTATTTTTAGGAGTTTAGATACCTCGTCCTTGATGAAAGTATGTTTGACCTAGGACTGGGGCCTCATCTTTTGCTTGACCGGATTAATTTTTGGGTCCATGCTTAGTCTGTGAGTGGTTATTTCTGGTGGGATCCCTGTCATGTCAAGATGGGACAAAGCAAAATAATCTATGTTAACTATAAGAAATTGAATAAATTTTTTCCTGAGCTCGGGAGTTAGTGTCGTGCCCAGGTATACCTTTAGATCGGGCAAATGCTCCATTAATACAACCTGTTTCAGCTCTTCGACCATCGATTTGGTTGCGTCGGAGTCATCGGGGATTATAAAAGATCGGGAAACCCTGCAATCATCATCTTCACAAGTCTTTTGCTTATCTGATTGGGTTGTTACCGAAATTGGTAATTGCTATTTGGCCTTTGGGTCGGCGCCAGAATTCGGTTCCTTCGAGATTGTTGATATCAGAACCACTTCTTCAACGACAAACATCTCTTTTGTGACCGGTTGTTCCCTATAGATTGTCTTGATCCCCATGGAATTGGGAATTTTAACACTTGGTGAAGGGTTGGGTACTGCCCTCATGTGGTGGATCCATGGCCTTCCGAGAAGGGCGTTGTACCTCATGTCTCCTTCGATTACATAAAACTTATCTTCTCGTACGATTCTGGTGGTATTGATGGGTAACATTATCTCTCCTTTGGTGGTTTCACATGCCGTGTTGAACCCGTTTAGGACTCGGACTGCTGGCATGATCTCGTCTTGTAGACCGAGCTATTCTACGACCTTCGATCGAATGATGTTGGCCAAGCTACCTGGATCAATTGACACACGTTTGATTCTAGTTTTATTTACGAGTTCAGATATTACCAGTGCATCATTGTGAGGTTTTATGATCCCTTTCGCATCCTCGTCGCTAAAGGATAAGGCTCCTTCAGGTATGTAGTCTCGAGTTCGTTTCTCCCTGGTGACGGAGATTCTGGTGCGTTTCAACATTGGCCATTTTGGGATGTCGACTCCACCGATGATTATATTTATGACATGTTGATGTTCGGTATCTTCTTGTCATGTCTGTTTGTTAGAATCCCTGTTTCTAAAGTGGTTTTTGGCTCGGTCGCTCAAGAATTCTCGAAGGTGCCCATTGTTGAATAAACGGGCTACTTCTTCTCTCAGCTGTCGACAATCTTCCGTTCTATGACCGTGAGTTCCATGATATTTGCACATCTGGTTAGGGTCCCTTTGAGATGGATCAAATTTTAAAGGTCGAGGCCATTTAGTATCACTGATGCGCCCGATAGCAGATACGATGGCGGCAACGTCGATATTAAAGTTGTATTTTGATAGCCTCGGTTCTTCTTTAGGCCCGATGGACCTGTCGAAGCCATTTTTGGTCATGAGTCCCCAGTTGCTTCGACCTTGATCACTTCTCCTGTCGTTTCTTACAGGGTTCCGCCCCGACACACTACTCCTTCGATCTCCATTATAGGGCCGATATCGATCCCCATTTGATCCTGGTTCACGATTAATGTCCCTCTTGGCTCTATCGAGAGTCCTGGCGGGATATATAGACTTTGAAGGTGCCCCGAGTTGATCATCTTCGACTCTGATTTTCGATTGATACCGATTGTGTACATCGGTCCAGGAAATGGCAGGGTATTCTATCAAGCTTTGCTTTAATTGCTGCGAAGCCACCGAGCTTCGAATATTGAGTCCTTGAGTAAAAGCCTGAACAACCCAATCATCAGCGACCGGCGGCAAATCCATTCGTTCCATTTGAAAACGGGACACGAATTTCCTGAGCATTCGTTCTCCTTCTGTTTGACTTTGAAAAGGTCTGATTTCCTGGTTTCGACCTTGATGGCGCTAGCATGTGCTTTTACGAAAGAGTCTGCAAGCATAGCAAATGAGTCAATAGAATTAGGAGGTAAGTTGTGATACCATATCATGGCTCCCTTCAACAAGGTCTCCCCAAATTCTTTCAGCAAAACAGACTCGATTTCGTCGTCTTCTAAGTCGTTCCTTTTAATGGCACATGTATAAGAGGTTACATGCTCGTTTAGATCGGACGTTCAGTTGTACTTAGGTATTTCGGGCATACGAAATTTCTTGGGGATTGGTTTTGGGGCCGCGCTCGGAGGAAAAGGTTTTTTCACGAACTTCTTGGAATCCAGTCCCTTCAATATCGGGGGTACTCCTAGGATTTGATCTACCATGGAATTATAGGTTTCAACCTTTTTATCGTTCGCTTCGATCTTCTTTTCCCCTGACTCTATCCGCTTTGTCAACTCCTCGAGCATTTTTATAATTTCAGGGTTAGTCCCCAACTCTTGTTCATTCGACCTTACCACGGTCGGTTCCGTTCTGCGGGTGACTTCTTGAGGCGGATCGGGTTCAACCCTGCTCGGTGCCTGGGTTTGGCTCTGCAACTGAGCTATCGCCACATGTTGAGCTTGCAGCATTTCGAAGATCATGCGTAGACTAATCTCGTCTTCTTCAATATTTTGTGTGTTTCGAGCTGCAGATTGGGCTCCACCACGGATGCTATTTTCAGGGTCGGTACGCAAGTTCGTGTCGATGGCCACATGTGAATTTACATCAATTGGATCCGTAGTCTAAATTCCAACGACATCAGCGGGTGGCCCCGCATTAGCAGGTGTCCCCGCATTAGCGGACGTCATGTTGTTATTCTCACCTTGATGATCGGCCTCGTTGTCGATATGTAGAGGTGCTAATAGAGAGTTTGTCATTTTTGGCGTGAAATCAAAGATACTTCAAAGAGCAAGTGTAAAGTAGTGTGTGTTATGAAGATTTGTATCAAATGACCATTATTATCCTTAGCCCCACGGTGGGCGCCAAACTGTTTACCCGTAAAATTGGATAACAATTGAATTTATATGCAGTTTTAAGGTTACGTGATCTAATTTGATACAAATTTTGAAATCAGATTTAATATGGAAGAATAAATAGAAACACAAATGCAAACCATGCTTAAGCCTCGCAAGATTAACTTCGTTCGAATTTAGGAGAGATATTATTGAAGCCAAAACAATATGAACAAAGCTGGAAAAGATAGTATGTTGTTCTTTGAAGTATGTTACAACGTCCGTCCATGAATTATCAAGTCCCCCTTATATATATTGGGGGAGATCTTACTTTTAAGACCTTTAATCAAATACATAAGTCCTTGATTTTGTAGATCGTTGGCCCTTTTTTAACTTAATCCCGTGATTTTTGCCATAATAATTGGTTAATAGCGAAAATTACGGATCCTTGTCGGATGAGTTGGCAAAACTTTTCGCCGAGGCCGTTAGAAGCAGGATCGGTGGTGCCTTCGGTAAACTCGAGGGTGAATATGATGGTCTTGTCAAACTTCGAACCTCGATATTGAGTTCGGTTTCACGACCTTCGATCTCTAATAAATGATTCGAGCCTGGTCTATTGTTCCAGATGCTCGATCAAGCATCGAGCTCGATTTTTCTTAAGAGTTTAGTAACTTAGTAATAAAAAATCTCTAATATTCAATCTGAGTTTGGACATTATTTGGTTGAACTTGACAAAAAAGTAACTGAAATTAAAATTGGAAAAGAGTATTTAAAAGTTTGTGGTTGAACATAAATTTTACTCGGAAAAACAGTTAGAAGTCTTATGAATAAAAATGAGCAGTCTGATGCACAAAGTATCTCGCATTCCCCCAAAAAGTATATGATGTAATCATGTAAATAGTCTACCTATGTAAGCACTAATGATTACTTCCATGGCTCGAACTTTACTGTTTGATTCAAAGGCTTCCCTTCTAAATAAAAATTATTATCTCTCAAAATATTTCTCAAATAAGTTTTTCAATATTCAACGGCATTTCAAATTATATAACACATCTCCACTACTTATTCTTAATCCAATTACCTGTAAAGTTGATTGTCTGGTTCCACCTTTTATGGAACGTCCTTATCTATTAGTCGAGCAAAATTGGAACACAATTACTACATTGATTGGTAAAAGACATACTCACCCACCAACAAAAAAGAGACGCGTTGTCACTAAAAGACATATAACAAAGAAGAATTCGATTGTAAAAGTGAATGAGCTGTGAAGTATTCTTCTCCAAGAGAATTAGGCATGTTTAGATATCATGATTTTAAAATAATGACAACCTGAAAAACTCTTTTATCTTTAATCTGTTCCAAAAAGGACGAACACTTTTCTGTAACTAAAAATTCTTTAAATTTTTCATTTTATCCTGGCATGCTTCTATGGCCATGAAAATATCATCACTACTTGTTCTAGGGATACAATTGATATGTGCCAAAAGCATAAAAAGGCAACGCGGTGTATGAAGAACCGGACCACAAGGTCTATTGTACGCAATCTTACCCTGCATTTCTGCAAGAGACTGTTTCCACGACTCGAACCCGTAACCTCCTAGTCACATGGCAACAACTTTACCAATTACTCCAATGCTCCCCTTCCCAAAAGCATGTCTTTCTTAATTTTGTGACTAGTCAAACATCGCCAAATACAATGAACGGAGGATGGAAGAAATACAAGATGAAACTTCCATTCACTAAGTTGATGACAAATGTGATGGACCACATGGCAATTGAGAACAATATATTGCATTACAGATATAAAGAATAGCCACAATAAAAAAATATTCCATTTGCTGTCCTGTTCAGCAATGCCATTTAGGCCAAATTTTCAATTGACAGCAAGATAAGGGACAAAAGATGGGAAGCTTCTGGATTAGGGGAATGAGGGAGAGAGAAGACACAAAGGCTACTTACAATAGTTCTGATAACTTTAACTAGTTTCTAAAGGAAATAAAGAAAAAGATTAATAGATGAGGCAAGGGGGAATAGAAGAAAAAAAGCAAGGATAAAAATGAAACACACATATATATGCAGAGAATATGTAAAGATCAAAGAGCACAAGTTGGAGGATTCACAAGGGATTGTGACATACAGCAACTGACATTACTTCAACTCCAGCACTTGGAAGTAATGGAACTAGAAGCTTTCTGCTGGGAATCCGCCGATGCTCCCAATTCCATTGATGGCACGTTTTGGCCTCCACTCAGTCCGCCCCTTAACAACCTCTCCACCATTTTCGAGTCGAAGCAAATGTTGACACTGAACATTCCCAATGTCATCCAAGTCACCGACACCCTTGTCCAGTACAGAGGTCAGTGACTGCAGCACACTGTCCCTTCTGCATTCCCTTCGGTACTCCAATGTCATGGCCGCGAGCTCGCAGCCTTCCAGTATTTGCATGGGTGCACTCTGCAGCCAAAGACATGTCCCACAATTTGAGCCGTGTGATAAATAGAAGCAAATATATAATGACACGACGAAACCAAGATTCTCGAACACTCTGAGAAGATTTCTTTATTTATGTACCCTTAGTGATACGAGAAAAATTGGGAATTCCACAACTACCTAAAGACACGACACTAACCATCAAGAGTCTTTCAGTACACTGCAAATCACACTGCTCATTTGAGTTTATATAGCTTTCCCTATTTTAGGTTGATTAAAATAACTTCATTTTCTTGGGGAAGATGGGTTTTCACTTTAGTTTTACTGTTTTAGAGAAAAATAAAGAATTGGCAAGAATTTCGTACTTACCAGCCAGAAGAAGAAAAAAAACTTGATTTTACATACACACTTTTTATTCCTATATGGTGCACAACCCATAAGAGAAATGACGAACAACAATTATCCTCTAACAGGAGATATAACTAGATAAGTATTTCAGAACTTAAGTATGCAAATGGCTCCCAACACATCGACACATCATGGGACATATTTCAGCTCTTTCTGAAACCTCAGGATATCCAGTACCACTGTGAATCCAAGAAAATACAGAATTCGGTTGGGTTAGTGTGTGCACACGTGATCTTTTAGTTTTTTTTTCCTTTCCCCATCGTACACATGATTTCAGAATATGATGAAAATCTAAACACATCTATTGTGCTACGTAGCCTAATCATAAACCAAAATATTTTACAAGCAATAACAGGGAAGAAAAAAATACTTTAAAGGATGGAGGAGGAAAAGGAAGAGGATTTACCTCAAGAATCCAGCCAATGTACTTGACATTATTAACATGCTGGTTAACATCTAAGTCACTCCATCTTGGCTGTAAATTCAACAAATCAGAAGATATTAAAGATGTCCTTAGATATGACAGAGTCACCAGTCTAGAATCCTTCTACTTACAGTTAAACCAGTTCGAATGTAGTCTGCTGTTGTCTCGTCAAGTTTTGGTAACTTCCTGCTGTCATCGTCAATAACAGGAGGTGAATCAACAAAATAATCTTCAATTTCAGCCCGAGCCTCCTCCGGTATTTTAGATAATCTCCTTGTCTCCTTATTCATCATCACCCATAAGCTGCAAGCAAATGGAAACAAAATTAATCACAGTTATGAAACAATGAATAGATCAAGGGTTTCGTGGTTGGCCACCAAACGTACTACAGACGAGATCAGGAACTATGGCTTGGTCATAAAACAGCCAAATCCAAAAAGAAGGTTACAACCACAAAGAAACAAACCTAAATGGAAATGATAAAATCATTTTACGTCGAACATAACTGAATAATATGCTTGTAAAAGTTCATCGTGTAAAAATTTAATCAAACTGAAGTAGATTAAACAATAATGGCCCTACCTGGATGCTCTCATCAATACATGCCCTGTACTACTATCACGGACAAGCCAATCTCGCCGCATACCATTCTTCCCTGATGCAGCCACCCAAGTGTCAACTTGAACAACATCACCCCTGTGAGAAAGAAATCAGTCCAAAGATCGCCATGCTCATTTTCACATGTCAAAGAAACTGGGCATAGTGTTTGAAATGTCAATAGGGAGATCAGTAGAACTAGTATAAAAAGAATAATCCCAACAGATCCAAAGTAACTATACAAATGTAAAGAAACCCCTAATATTTCTCCTGTGGATAGAATGCTTAACTGCAATATTGTGATAGACTGGGGTTTTAAATGCTTAATAGCTAGACGGAAAATGAGCAAAATGATTCAATGATAGAGGTTAGTTGGCACCTAAAAGAGCTTGAGAGATTTCTAATCATGTAAAACAAGATTTTTCTGTTTAAATTGGTCATTATCTTCCAAAAAGAGTGCATGGATTTTGAGATAAGGAATTATATGAAATTCAACTTCATCAAAGTGATTCCTCATATCACAGGATAGCACAATGCTATACAGAGCTTTAAGACTACAATAGAAAACTGACTTGCGGTTAAGCAATATTACATAAATGTGTGGTAGAAGTTTTAATTAACAAATTAAATAATTCTGGAGTATGAACCTCAATTTCAAATTGCCTTCAATATTGATCAACAAAGACAGTGCCAAAAATGGCTGAACTTCGGCTTTACCCTTTCTAGTACCTCAGACTCTGATACAGCATGTCAGAGAAGCAAGAACAGAAACTTACCAAGTAGGATAGCGATCCACTACAACCTGCATTTTGGTAACAACCCAAATCAAATTTCTCTTGGACATTTCTGGAGTTGATCCAAACCCACCATGCATGAGTCCCGCACACTTGACATGGTTAAGAGCAGTTTCCTGAAGAACAAACTCAAGCTCGTGAAGGTATCAAAACAAGATGCTTCTACAACTTCAAGTCAATAATTCTTTGCTAAGTGGAAATGAAAGCCTAGAATACCTGTAAATGATTCATCATCGTTTCTATAGAAGCAGTCCTATCAGCCCCTATTTCATAGGACCTGATGCTAAAATTTTGACGGAAAACAAGGCCATCCTGCACAATTTTTCCTAAACCGAATGGATCAACGAGCATATCAGGACGCTTAGGCTTCCAATCAAGCATCATCCATTGCTTCTCAGCAGCCAAAAAGATAGTTGTGATGGCAGCAAGGAGCATGCTCCAATCAGGCAACTGGTTTGCAAAGGTCCTTGGAGGAGGTGAAGAAAACACCTCATCATCAGTTTTGAGGCCATCCATAACGCCTACCTTTGTTCCATTCACCTTAGGAGGAGCTTGAGCATTGGCCTTAGCTTGTAGACTCCCAAAAGCAGGCTTCTTAGCATTGAGCCCCCGTGCATCTATACTTCCAGGAAGACTTCCTCCTACCTTTCCAGATGGTTTTGCTCCACCAGATTCAGGAGGTGGATTAGCAACAGGAAAGAATGCGCCAGTAGCAGCAGTGACCACCATGATAAAAATATTATATACCGGCGAGTCAGTCTCGCTTCTTTCAAATTTGTTGTGTATTACTATCAGCAGATTCCGAACAAAAGAAACAGATCAAAAGGTGACACTGTTCTCCCTGCAACGCCATGAAAGTAACATATCACTGTTATCTCCAACATGGTCAAGAAAATTTCAAGAATCTAAATTTTCTTTAAGTAGCAAGTGAAAAAACAAAAAAGCTTTAATCTTTGTAATGGTTCAAAAGAAATCAAACGTTTACAGCCCACCGAAACAACAGGCTTTGATAAAAGAAACCCAAATCAATCATAAAGTTTCAGCTTACAATTTCCACTTTACCCAATAGCCTTATATAACTAAATAAGTAAAATATCTCCAATTCCATTTACCAGCACATTTATGCATTAAAAACCTTTGTCTTATCTTTATCTCTCTCCTCAGGCAACCAAACCAGTAGTTTCATAAATTCTTTCAATATCTTTAACAATTAAAAAATTGTAACTCAATCAGAGTAATATTTTTATTTTTTGTTTTTTGATGACTAAGTGTCCGGACCAGCTTGAGCCTACTTCGACTATTCCATCGGACACCTGCTACCTCCCATCACACGGGTACCAAATAACTCTGTCCACAAAGGCTTTAGGAGATAGGAAGAAATCACTTAGTTATTTTCGCCTCCGCTAGGATGTGAACCTAAAACCTCATTATTCTCCTCCCACTTCATTTACCACTAGGACACACCTTTGTACCTTAAACAGAGTTGTATTTTTTTTCCCTAGATATCTAGAGTTTATATCTAAGAAAAATTAAGAAATTAATGTCCGAATAGAAACAAAAAAACTAGTATATCATTGTCCTTCATTCTATTTGAAATGGAGACAATATTTCAAAGGAAAATGAATCCAATATAAGAAATAAAAATTAAAAGAACATGAATTTGCAAAAACAAAGTTCCACCAAAAAAAATAATGAAATTCAAACATGCAAAACAGATCTGAGCCTCAGCTTCGGAAACCAAACCGCTAATTCTCCATTTTCCGCTCAAATTACAATCACAAAATCAAGCAATTACCCTTACATTATGTCTGCATTAATACACATAATCCAGGCAAATATCAATCCAAATCATCCAGATCAACATTCAACAACTACATACATAAACCGTACAAAAATTCAACAATTTCATACATAAAAAAAAAGGTAAAATAAAACGCACCTTTTTCCGTTTTTTTCTGCGGAGAAACTTCTAGAGAGAACACGAAGAAATGTATTGCACCTGATATGATAACATAAAAGACTTCACTTTTGATCAAGCAAACCCGATGAAAAATATAAGATTCTCGAAATTTCTAGGGTTTGTGATCTTGTAGTGCTCCTTTTTTCTCCGTAAATAAATACTTTTTAAATTATAAAATTCAATTTTGCTTTTTCAAATTTTTCGGAGAGAGAGAGAAAGAGAAAGAGAAAAAGCAGGGAACCAGTGGAATCTGGGTGGTAAGGATACAGTGTTTCAGTCACCCATTTTTATACTATCCACCTGGCCCCTTCCGCCTCGCGTTTAACTTCTTCTTTTTGCCCCTCTATTTACTATTATTTACATGACTGCCATTCTTTCTTATTTATTGTTTCTTTTTCAAATAATCCATCTGTTTTTTAAAAAAGAATTATTTGGAACAGGGCCTGTATTATTTGTTAACTTAACACGTGGTTTTGTGTGTGCTAAAAGCCTAAAATTCTAAACTAATTATTAATATTCAGAGGCCATAGAGTGGGTTCATTAATTTAATTTAAAGCTTACATAATTTGTTGGAGAATTTTGTTACACATACTATTTTTTTTGTTTATAGAGTGTTAAATACATTCCAAACACTCAAGAAAAAATATGATTACAAAAAAAAAATATGCAAATTGGGATTGGCAGCGTAAATCCTCATCGATAGAAAGAGCATAAAAAAAATCAATTCAGTACAAGACATCTCGCGTTCATGTAGGTACGAGAAAAAATTGAAAAAGAACATATTAAACTTTATAAAGAAAAACTAATATTGTGGAATAATAACAAGTTCCATGAAAGTCAACCTTTTTAAGTTTTCATGGCAAATAAATTTTTAAATGGAATTTTTTAAATGATTAGTATGTGTTTGTAGAATAACACTTTGGTATTTTAGTGGATAACTGGAAATACACTAGTGTAATATCCATAGATGATTCAATTTTATAGTCAGTAAAATCAGAGTGCATTTATTTTACTACAAATTTTTTAAATTATACATAATCTTAAAGAAACATATCCATTAATGAACGAGCTTGAAATTGTTTTTAGTTTGATTCGTAAAAGAAGAAAATGGGATTGAATCTTTTACGTGCATTAATAAATATATATATACATTTAGGGGTGGAGCTAGAAAATGAATTAGGGTTCAGATGAGTTCACTAACGTTTGCTTATAGCATGTTTGATCAAGCTTCTAAAATCAGCTTATTATGAAAAACGGATCTACTGTCTCTGAGCCGAGGGATAGGAATAAAATCTGCATACACTTTATCCTCCTCAGACTCCACTAGTGGGATTTTACTGGATTGTTGTTGTCTGAAAAGTATTTTTCTTTAAAAGTTTTTTTCAAAAAAGTACTTTTGGTAAAAACAATTTGTGTTTAGCTAATTAATTTGAAAAATAATTTTGAACAATAATTAGTGTTTGACCAATCTTTTAAAAAATACTTTTAAATGTATTTTTCTCAAAAGTATTTTTGAGGAGAAGTTATTTTTTCTGTTTCTCAAAAATTATTTCTCCTTCTACTCAAAAATATTGTTTTTCTTCTAAAAGCTTGACCAAATACCATAACTTTGGAGGAAAAATATTTTTGGTAAAAAGATACTTTTTTCCGGCTAAAAAGATACTTGACATGTACTCGTATTAAAAAATCTATTAAATATATTTAAATATTTAAGTATAAACCTAAAATTAAAATAAGTCATAGATTAGATAATAAATTAAAAATATATAAACTTTAAATTATGATTTCGCCCGATTGTATATCAATAAATTTGATGGGATAGAGTTGCTTCTAGGAATATCATAAATAGTTATTATGGTTGAACTATATGCCTAACTTTGCCAGCCTAATAAATCTACGTTTTTCAACTTTATGTCATAGCTTAACGTGTTGGCCTCATGCACTAAATAATACTGTGATTTTCTAATTTAGAATAAATTGGTGTAGGACCAAAAAAAAAGTGGATAATTAGTAAAATCTTTATCAATTCTATCTGTTATCTGCTGCTTTTTCTTTCTATATATTTTGACTCTGAATTGCAACTTCCAACCAAATCTGACTCGAGCATATGGCTTGATTTTCAATTAGCAGCCTCTATGACCAAAAAAAGTAAACGTGGCGTTTGGACATAAGAAATGTGAAATTCCGAAAAAAATAAAAATGGTATTTGAAAATTAGAATTGTATTTGGACATGAATACATTTTGAAGTTGTTTTAAAATTTTTGTGAGTGATTTGAAGTGAACATTTTGAAAAATAACTTTTTGGAGTTTTTTCTGAAATTCAATTTCAAGTGATTTAAAAATTTCATGGCCAAACACTGATTTCAAAAGAAAAAGGTAAAAATATTCCGATAAAAATAAAATTTTATGTCCAAACGGGCCCTTAATTGTTTGCCATTATATTGGTAACTAAATGAAAATGTTAAGATTCCAATTACTAAAGGGTTGTTTGGTACACGAGATAAGGATAAAAATTTCGAGATAAAATTTGAGATTATATTTATCTTATGTGTTATAGACAGTGAAGGAGCCACAATCAACCCAAGGGTATCAATTGATACCCCTTCGCCGGAATATTACATTGTATTGCTAGATAATTTTTTTTTGTTTTATGTGTATTTATTATAAGTTGACTCCCCTTGACTTTTTAGTTATTTAATTTTTTATATTTTAATACCCCTTAGTGAAAATTTTACCTCTGCCACTGATAATAGATATTAATTAATCCCGAGATACGTTTTACATTAAAATGATGGGATTAATTGTCTTATATGGAAGGTGGATAGCTAATCTTATAAAATATTCTTGTTTATTCCATCATTTTACAAAACAGCCCCTAATTGTTGCGAGTTATCAATTTAATTTGCCAACTTTACTAATCTCATTTGATTTTCCGATCAAGTTATATCAAAATTGTAATATAGAAAAGAATAATTGCTGAATTATCAAGGGATCGCTTGGTTGATGGTATTGGAATAATTAATTTCAGTATGAAATCCCGCAAAAGGAAATATAAAAGATATTGCCGTAAAATTAATGCAGTTTCTGGTGTTATTGGGGAACTTATGCATTATTTTAGGGGAATAGAATGTAAAAGAAAAATACTTATATTAAGAACATGAGAGATTTATTGGGTTTTTTAAGCTTAAATGTAACTTAAAAGAGGGTGAATGGGAAATGGAGAGAAAATTAAAAATATTTGAGTTTCCCTCATTGACAAAGGAATATTGTCCCATATTGGAAGAGGAAAAGATTTTGATGGGTATATATAGAATTGCACTTCTTCTAGCTCTTAAAGAGTTAAGAAGAAGGCAAGCCTCGCGCCGTCGTCGCTCGCTCGCTCGGTTGCGGCTTCGGCTTCAAATGATTGATTAATTGATTAATTTGTTGGACCAAATTTATTTGTTAATAGTAAATATTAACAGAATTGTTATTAAATATCCGATTTTTTGTAAACGAAATATTAATATTAAATCCAAACGTAATAGTATATGCCCTTCGCTTTTTGTAAAAGACATTTACAAAACAGTTTGCACCTCTTCAGATTTGAAGAACAGTTTGCACCTCTTCAAATCTGAAGAGTTGAAGAACAGTTTGCACCTCTTCAGATTTGAAGAAACAGTTGGCACCTCTTCGGATTTGAAGAGTTGCACCTCTTCAGTTTGAGCTCAACATTGACTATAAATGCCAGTCCATTCTCTCAAATTTTCCATACGAATTTCTGATTTCTCCTCCTTTCTTCTGCATTATTTTTAACTACAAACAAAGCATCAGTGAGTGTGATTTGCTACCTATCTTTGTGTTCGCTGAAACATTGGTGTTTGAAGTATCGCTACACCAGTGTGTAATTCGTTCTATCCTGGGAGGAAATAATCCACAACCTTAGGTACTAGGAGGGGATTAAATTCCTTAAGGAAACACTGTGAATTCAGTGGGGTCGGATTAAATTCTGTTTTCTTTTATATTTATGTTATTTTATCTTCTCCATAATTATTTTACAAATACAGCTAAATAACAAGCTTAAGGAATTTAATATTTTCTGTATTTGTGTTATATTCACTATTTTTGGAGACTAAAACTTGTGTGGTTTTCTACTCCAGTGGAGATTAAAATCTACGTGATTTTAATGTTTGTTTGTGTCATTCTTTTACAGAAATGACGAATGACAACGGGAACCAGACTGTTCCTATGGTAACTGCCAACGCATCAACAAGCCGAACAACACCGGCATTGGCACCGGCAGAAAAATCCGAAAATTTTTCCAGGATTGACTTCAAGCGCTGGCAGCAGAAGATGTTCTTCTACTTGACGACTTTAAGTCTGCAGAAATTCATTAAGGAAGATGTTCCTGTTCTGCCCGACAAAACTCCAGAAAATGAACGCTTTCTCGTGATTGAGTCGTGGAAGTATTCTGATTTTCTATGCAAGAATTACATTCTTAGTGGACTAGAGGACAATCTGTATAACGTCTATAGTAATATGGAGATGTCAAAACAACTGTGGATAGCACTTGAAAGGAAATACAAAACGGAAGATGCCGGGTTAAAGAAATTCGTTGCCGCTAAATTTTTAGACTATAAAATGGTAGATAGCAAGTCTGTTATTACCCAAGTCCAAGAATTGCAAGTGATTATTCATGATCTCCTTGCTGAAGGTATAAGTCAAATTAATACTAATGTTGAAAGTATTAATTATATTATTTCTACTAACATAATTTTCACTGAAGGTCTTGTCATCAATGAAGCGTTTCAAGTTGCAGCAATGATTGAAAAGTTGCCTCCTTTGTGGAAGGACTTTAAAAACTACTTGAAACACAAACGAAAGGAGATGTCCCTTGAAGATTTCATTGTTCGATTGAGAATCGAAGAGGACAATAAAGTTGCTGAAAAGAAAGGACGTGCAAACTCAACAATAATGAGAGTAAACATTGTTGAGGATAGAAAGAGGAAGAAGGCTTATGGACCGAAAAGCAACCCAAGCAAGAAGCGGTTCAACAGAAATTGCTACAACTGTAGAAAAGCTGAACACAGATCTGCAGATTGTCGTGCTCCAAAGAAAGACAAGAAGAAGGGTCAAGCAAACATGGTTGAAAAGCACGAAGATATCGATGACTTGTGTGCTATGCTTTCTGAATGCAACCTGGTAGGAAATCCTAAGGAGTGGTGGATTGATTCTGGAGCCACTCGCCATGTTTGTACTGTTAGAGAAGCATTT